GAGGACGTGTGGTGCCGCTTCGTGGTGGGCACGGGCGGCCTGGGCGGCGACGAGCTGCGCGGCCTGGAGCTGGAGCAGAGCCGCCACCGCGACCTGCTGCTGCTGCCCGAGCTGCGCGATTCCTACGAGAACCTGACGGCCAAGATCCTGGCCATGTACGTGTGGCTCGACCTGCACCTGGACTTCCGCTTCGTCCTCAAGGCCGACGACGACACCTTCGTGCGCCTGGACGTGCTGGTGGAGGAGCTGACGAGCTGCGCGGCCTGGAGCTGGAGCAGAGCCGCCACCGCGACCTGCTGCTGCTGCCCGAGCTGCGCGATTCCTACGAGAACCTGACGGCCAAGATCCTGGCCATGTACGTGTGGCTCGACCTGCACCTGGACTTCCGCTTCGTCCTCAAGGCCGACGACGACACCTTCGTGCGCCTGGACGTGCTGGTGGAGGAGCTGAGGGCCAAGGAGCCGCGGCGCCTCTACTGGGGCTTCTTTTCCGGGCGCGGCCGGGTCAAGTCCGGTGGCAAGTGGAAGGAGAGCGCCTGGGTCCTCTGTGACTATTACCTGCCTTACGCCCTGGGGGGCGGCTACGTGCTCTCCGCAGACCTGGTGCGCTACCTGCGCCTCAGCCGCGAGTATCTGAACCTGTGGCAGAGCGAGGACGTCTCCCTCGGCGCCTGGCTGGCCCCCGTGGAGGTGAAGAGGGTGCACGACCCTCGTTTCGACACCGAGTACAAGTCGCGCGGCTGCAACAATAAGTACGTGGTCACCCACAAGCAGAGCATCGAGGACATGCTCGAGAAGCACCAGACACTGGCCAAAGAAGGGAAGCTTTGCAAGGAGGAGGTTAAGCTGCGGCTCTCCTACATGTATGACTGGGGGGTCCCTCCTTCGCAGTGTTGCCAGAGGAAAGACGGCATCCCTTGAATGTTTTGGGAGAAGGGCAGACTCTGAGCTGGTTCTCCGTTACAGGGCCCGCTGGAAGTTGGGCTTGAAAAGTATTCAGTTTGCACAAATTGTACGTGGAGACCAACATAACCCTGAAATTTTTAAGAAATACAAAAATCCAGAAATGGGGGGGGATGGGAAAGGGTGATAGGATGGAAACCAAATGCGAAGAACATGTCGTGGGGATAACTTGAATGCAGGGCAGCTTGAAAGACCTTTGACTGACTCCAGCATTTGTTTGCTGGAGAACACCTCAGGCCTTCACACCATCCGCAAGATTTGAAACCAATGCCTGCTATTCATTCTTTGCAGGGAACAAGCGTCATCTGGCTGAGCCTGTTGGCAACGTTTGAAGACTGATAATGGGATCACAGATCTGATCAGTGGGAACAGCTGGCTGATAGAGGCATGGCATTTAAGAATAGGAAAATCTGTCAGATTTTGCAGTGTTTACGTTGGCATTGGGGGTTGCCTAATGTTTGGACAGGGCTCTTATCTGCAAGATCTGAATTGTTAGAAGACTGGCAACTTCTCTCTGAATTTAATCCTTTAAACCATTTTTTTTTTTAAACATGATGATGTACTTACTATGTGACCTGAACTGTGTGGCAGCTACAAAATAGATCTGTGTTTGGAAGGGAGTATGTATTATGCCATTTTGCGTATATACTAGGGTACATTATCAACCTTATTTTGGAGGCTAACACTCGGTTACTGGGATTAAATGCTGCTCTTATTATATTCTCCAAGCACATTGTATGAACTAGTTTTAACTACCTTTTCTTTTTTTCTTTTTTTTACAAGAAAAAACCCATTGATGAGTACGGTCTTGCAAGGGTTAGCCAGATTCGAATCTCAGTGTCTCAGACGGGAAGTACAAAACCACCAGGCTATTTGGACTAACTTTAAATATAATTCTGCAAAAAAATAAGTAGATCCAATGTTGGTTATTCACATGGTATCTCACGGGGATTTATTTTTACCTTTCTCTCTAGTCCTGTCTACGCTACAATTGAATTTATTGCTGACAAGGGTCCAGGGTTGAAAATTAATTTCTCCACCAGTATAGATGGGATGTTTCTGCACGTTGATGGAGCTCATTTTTCATAGGAGTAATTCCAGCACATATGACCTTTTTTTTCTGTACGTTTTTTAGCTGTGCGAGTAATCCGGACGTTCTGTAATGGTTCTGAAAATGTTACTATCGGTGCACACAATTACACCATTTGCAGCACTAGCTCTGAGGGGCTTCTCTTTAACAGCCTTTGTCAGCAACACATCTCTTTCCTAGTATAGACAGAGCTTTAATGTTTATGCCTGAAGGGCATGTTCTCAGTGTCTGTCTCACTGTTCGTTGCACGCTGCACTTTCACGCTACTTCTTTCATTTCCTTCTCTCCCTGGACCAGGGTCTATCTGTCTCTCTCGCTCACCAGTGGAGGGAGACATTAAACTTCATAAAATAGGAGCTCATTCTAACCTCTTAATATCTTTGCTTTGTAGGCCTGTGATTTAGTCATTTATACCAAAGGAATCAAAAGTATTTATAAATAAAATCCTCTTTTTTTTTTAGTTTTGAGTAGCTTCCTATGGAGGATTAAGGAAAAGGACCTACTTATTTACTTTGGGTATTTCAACAGTGCATTCTGTAACTTTCCCATTAAAAGATAAATGAATGAAGGCACTAAAAATGTAATTTATTTTAGCTTTTGCATGGTGACTTTGTCACACTGATGTAGACATGACCTTCGGTGGAATAGATTCCTGCAAAACAAAATTTAATCTGGTTGCAAGAAGTGTAATTGGTTTCTATACTACTTAAGTCTTTATTTGCTCTTTGAGGTAAATCATTATTGTACAGACAGCGTTTGTAATTGTGATTTATTTATTTATAAATATTGTAAATGTACTATATATAGTAAAAATGTAAGATAGTTAAGTGTCATCTTCTATTTAAAATTATTTAAGGAAGGTCAACAAATAACTTATCAAGTGCTTGAAATTTACTGATATATACAGTTCATTATTTAAAATTATCAAGGTCTGAGTTGTAGACCCAAAATGTACCGCATGTCTCTCTCAAGCTAGTAACAATGTACTAATCGCCCATTTGTCGAAATATCAATTTTTATGTACGTCTCTTGCATTGTTGTTTCCCTCTCTCATTTCATTGTTTTCATGGGGTGATGAGAATTTGAGCCACACAGGAGTAAAAAATAATTGTCAAATCTCATATAAGATTTAGCCAGCAGAACAGACATGTACACACTGCTGTTTAAACAGATTTTTTTTTCCTTCTGTAGAACACAGGGTCCAGCCATGTACTTGAAATTGAAATAAAGTGCTCAATCCTGCAAAGCATTTACCATAAAAGTCCCCCAAGTGAGAGATTTTGCACATCTAAACTTTTGCTTAAGTGCTGTGCAAGCTCACGTGATCACTATATTTGAAATGTGGGTCTTTATTCTAACATCAGTGTTCAGTGATTTCGCTTTCACAGGTTCCTTTTAGCCTGGAATATTACCCATGTGATCCTGAGCTCAAAAATGAATTCTTTTTGAAGGTTTGACCTTTTTTTGGTGGTGTTCCAGATTATGTGGGAAGGGAGGGGAGGAGGAAGAATCTTCTTGGTTTTGACCAGAAAATCTGTACTTGGAAAAACTTCAAGTGCCTAAAGCTATCACCCTTCTCTCCCCACCCCACCCCACCCCACCCCCCCCATGACACCAACCCTCAGACTTTGTTTTATTTTATATACTTCATTAAGGTCTAACACTGTTACATCTGTCCTTTTGTACATGGGATACTGCATGTAGTGAAACGGGAAGTTTTCAAGACTTGCAGTCCAAAATTTCAGTTCAGGGAGTTTAAGTCTTTTGAAATGCTCCTGTCCTGTTGAGTCACTGGGGCAGAGGGCCTGCAGAGTTCAGCAAAGAGAACTGCTGACCATCATAAACCTGTTATCCCACTATAATAAAGTATTCCACTAAAACTTTGTTCACGTTTAATTGTAGACATATGCCTTCAGAAGAGCATCTAAGTGGAAAAACCTTGAACAGCATGCCTACTGAAAGTTGTAACCCAGAGTAAAAGAAAGTCTGCTTCTGTGTACTGTATAAGCATCGATGGCCACACAAAAATGCAATGCATTACAAAGATTTCTTTACTTAGGCATTTGCAGGACATTAACTGCCACTTGAAAACCCAGGCCTAGTGAAGTCACTGGCAGAAGTTTCACTGACTGCAGTAGAGCCAGTATCTTAGCTGAGCACTTAAGCAGTAATTGTGATAAGTAAAACATCTCCGTGAATCCTTGGAGAAACTTTATTGAAGTGGGTGGAAGTTTTGCCACTGACTTCAATGGGAGAAAATTCAGGAACATAGTTTATATAAAGAGGGTTTTTTTTTCTAATCTGAATTTTGATAGTGTTAAAGTGATGTAGTTGTGATGGTCCAGGAAATAAGTGAGGGGCAAGAATTTTTATGGGAGATACCTTTTATTGGACAGCTGTATGGTGGGTGGACTTGGACAAGGTTTCAGGTATCACAGTATCCTTCCTCAAATAAGTCTATTCGTACCACGTCGTTGGTTCAGTAAAATAATGAAACTTTCTTTCCTCTCACTGCTTTAATTCACATAATGTAAAGACCGTTTTGATTCCATAACAGTAATTTTAAATGCTATTCCTG